TGATCATCTATTACCGAGCATCTTAAGTCAGACGATACAATTATCAAATCGATCATCGACTTCTGTACGCAAGCTTCTCTGTGCCAGGTATATTGATGCACGCTTTGATGATCGAAGCTGTTCAAAATGGGCAGTCCGTTGTTTGCAAAAAGCCGCAACAACTTCATGCCGTTATTGTTGAGGTCACTAGGGTTGTTCTTTCCAGTCAGACGTTTCCACAGTGTTTGCTCCGAAATACGCATTCAAGTCGCCCATTCGAATGATAGACTCCGTAGTCGGCGCTTCGTACATTCGACACTCCACTTCCTCAAGGAAAGGCTTATGTTCTCCCTTCAAATCGGGCGCAATGACTTGTAACCACGTCAATGCTTTAGCCTGTTGCAGCTTCAATCGTTGGATTGCTCATCTTCCGTTGACAGGCTTCCATTGAATGATTCTGTCAGTTACGTTGGGTTCTACTAGAACACCAACACCGGCTTCAGCTCACGTCATTATATGGACACATGAGTAGAGTTGCTGCCACCACATAGGTTCAAAATTTTAGAGCCTTGGTGCTTCGTTGACAAGAGTCCAATTATGTGAATTTAGTCCCTTGCGGCCACATCGACTAGTTGCTGTTCTTTCCCTCTGAGGAAAAATGTGCTCCAGCTGTGAGCTCCCACTCGCGGTGTCGTTGCCGTGGAGCCTTTTCTGCCGTGCTATAATAGCATCGCGCTGTCTGTCTCGTGGTTTCAGAATGGCTCGTGACTCCGTTGCTGATTGGTATCTTCGTCGGTCTTCGGTAGTAGGCGATGATTATGTTCTGATTGCCGAGTTATTGCTGCATGTTTTCAGTCCGCCTTTAGCCTGTGTAGCCCTTGTAAGCCTGACGATGACCGAGCTGGTGTAATTTTCAATGACAGCATTGCCATGAGGTGCACCTGGCTAAGTTTTACGGAGATTTTGCCACGGTCTCCAGCCCTCTTCGCTTCTTCCGGGCTGAGGACCACAATTTAATCAACAAGAAGCAAAATAGGCCATTCAGAACCGAGAATTTTCGTTTTGGTAGCAGTCAGACTCACCTTTTCAAGAATTTTGAATTGCATACAAGAAGAGCGGAAAAAAATGATCGATGCTAGTGCAGTAATTGGTAAGACCCATTAAACATGTTTTGATAGCGTCAGCGGGGTGTTGAAGGTCATTAATCCTCATGGCTTTAATCAGCCAACGTTTCATTCAAAAAGCGCATTAAACCAACTCTTCAGCATTGGCTAACATCAGAGCTAGCTGATAAACTGAACGGACATAACTAAAACAGATTGCACCATTTTACAATATTTTAAATTCAATTGATTAACCGAGGTGACTCAGCTTTCGAATGACCTAATGTTCAACATCTTTGACACCCTTTTTTGCATAGATGAGCAGTAACTTTTTGATTATTAGCTTGATCTTACACTTTATTGATCGGCCTCGGTAACATTACACTCATCCAGTAGGTGGTCGAC